GATCTTGAGGTCTTCACCAACCCACCTGCATTATGAATCATGAAGCAAATACTTTCACTTGAGAGCTTCAACTGGGACTTTCATCATTATATACTTGTGTGTGTGCGCGTGTGTGCATGCACTAAGGAAAAGGACAAGAAGAAAAGCTAATGTTAGTGGGGAGATAACTAGAAGAACCATAATGTATATTGTTCGTGGCTTCCTACTCAGTTGATCTGCAGTAGGAGGAAGTATTTCCTCAGTTGATCTGCAGTAGGAGGAAGTATTTCAACATCTCTGAAGTGCAACATTCTGATCATCTGACCATCTACCTGGAGACATAAACGCATGTTATTTCATTAAGAGAGCTGACCTCTTTTCTCAGAACAGATTGTACAGCAGGGATGGGGAACCTGTGCCCTGTGCCCCTTCAGATAATGCTGTACCACAATTCCAATGACTCTAATCAACACGGCTGGAGATTAATACTGCTGGGAATTGTAGTTCAACCGAGGTCAAAAGAGTCATGTAACCTCTGTGCTATTTTCATCTCATTCTTGACCTGAAGAAGTTGCTTTCATGGCATAGACATAGAAATTGGGTGTGGCTTTCCACCAGGGTCTGGTCCCTGGTTCATCTTTCCCCTGGTTTTCAAGCTAGAATCTCCAATCCTCTGGACCAAAGGATGATGCTGGTTTTCAAATGATAACATGAGAAGAGCACATGTTGGCCAGAAAGCTTGCTTAGAACTTCACGTTGCTCTTTTCCTCTCCCTCTTTTTTATTCAATTTCCTTTTTGGTCCCATCAGCCAGCTTCACTCTGAAAAAACAACTTTTTTTCATTGCTTTTGCTGGAAGTCATTTCTAGTTGTCCATCCCCTTTTCATCGTAAGTTCACTTTATATATCAAGCTGCCACCCCAAGGTCAGAGGTCTTGGCAAGAAGCAATTATTATTAAAAAAAACAAAAAACTGGCCACTCAGTGTACAAAAAGACTGTTAAAGACAAGAAGTTAGTCATACAAGGTGTGGGAGACTTAATGTAGGAAAAGCCTCTTTCACTGACTGATAGAAAGCAAAGCATCCTTATTAGAGCTGCATTGTTGAACTGTCCTGGGGGAGGAGATGTGTGTAGCATGATGTCACTGAGACATCAAAACCTGCCAGTTGTAAGAAGAAGATTTAAGAACCACCCAATAGGCTGAGCCATCCCCCTAGACTGCCACCCTTCCCACGTCCCATGATCCAGTTTGTCTTGTTTCCTGTTTTTAATATTTCTTACAACAGCCTGCCACTAATTAGAGATGATTGACTTCTACATGGGGACCTGATATTTGGAGAAGGCTGATCAGTGAGTTGCGATTCAGGTGGGGAATTTTGATCACAGTGTCCCTACCTCAGAGTGAGAGCATTAGAGCAATCATGCAGCCCACCTGTTTGAAACTGCAGGACTCTAGAACTCTATTTATGATTTCTTCTTCTCCTGCCCTTCTCCTGTCTTGGTTGTTTGCCCCTTGGGAATGTGATCAGAAGAGGCTCCTGGAAATCAGGAAATCACAAAGGAATATTGTGATTGTTTCAGAAGTTCTACATATTTAACAAAAAGGAACTTAGCAAGCTAAAGGTTTCTGACATGCCTAAATATTGCAGGCCAAGATGAGATACGTTGCTCTTACTGATCATTCTTTGGAATGTACCCAAGTTGGCCCTCCGTGGACCGGTTCTCTTTTCTACTGGCCCAGTTTCACGTCAGTGGCCTTGAGTCGTGAGAAGCAGCTCAGTATCAAAACAGTGTCAGCAATAAATAAATAAACCAACAGTGTCCCAAATAATTGAAGATTCCCAGCAGGAAACAGTGGTCTGTCTTCATGTTTGAAGGCACTGCTCACTTTCTCTACGTCCTGGATTAGGCTTGATCCAGAAAGGGGATGTGACTGTTGCTGCTCAACCAGCTACCAACACACAGAGGAAATAAGGAGCATGCTACAAGAAAAGTGGAATTTGTGAAGACCACGAGGAGCCACCAGGATCTAAGCACAAATATGTCCTTTCTGCAGCTCAGGTCATTTTGACCGCGTCTGGATCTCTGTCACAGTATTTGGAATCATCTCTTCCTTGCCTTCTAACTCACCCAGCCCAGGTTTGGGTGAGGAAGGGCTGTTTTTGAGGAGGGACCTCTTGTGTTCTCCTTGGAGCCTGAGGGAAAATTGTTCATCTCCCTTTTTCAAAAACCCTACCTCCCTTCCATTTCTTAGCCTTTCATTTTTGTGCATCAAGATTCCAGCAGGAGCTTGTCTAAGAAGGCAGTCTTGTGTTTCCAGCAACGGCTGCTGTGCATGGACAGTGAGCTGCTGACATTTAGAAAAATCTCAGAATCTCAAGCGAGAGGAAGAACCAAAGGATTTTCCAGTGAAAAGGTCAAAGCTTGGGGAGGGGGCACGCAGAAGAAGAAAAAGAAAATATTGTTTTAACATTGGTTTCTTGGTTTGCCACGGGATCTAAGCCAACTGAAGTGGGGATTAGAAAACAGGGACCGAACCAGGACAATAGAAGTGGCCAGTGGTGAGCAGAATGTTGCCATACGGAAATTTGATGGAAGGAAATTCTCAAAGGTTGTCATTGCAAAAAGAGAGCATATGTGCTACAAACTAGCAAGAAATGATTTAAGCCATCTCCCTGTGAATTTGCCTTGGGCCTGCATGAAGTGAATTTTTAAGTGCTTTGATTCAAACCGGCAATGCTATTTGACTTGTTGGGTGCAAGGAAAACAGTTTGCTTTTTGAGGTCCTTCATGTCACTTTGGGATTCTCCAGCAACTTCAGTGGCTGGAAGAGACTTCTGGGCATAACCTTCTGGAAGTGCTAGAAAAGGTCCTCCCAAATGACATGATGCATCTTTTGCGGCAGATACATGAAAACTAGTGTGAGCCATAAAACAGCCTTGAGGTATGTAATGCAGAAGCAAAAGATCCTTCTCCAAATCCAGGCAAAACCAAAAATCATGGCTTCAACCACAATTGTGCCACGTGGTTTCACCCCTGTAGGAATGACCTTGGGAGTCAGGAGGAAGAGCCGCAAACTAGACAACGGTCATAGTTTCTCAGAAGGAAAACAGGGTGTGGGAAGCGTCTCCAAAGGGACCCTCCTGAGTTTCTTGGAAAATAAAAGTAAAGGAGGGGGAAAGTGTTTCAGACTTGCAAGATTCTATTACTGTAACCTTAGAAGAAAGGTAGGGTTAGTCCTCATGGTTGGTGTTTCTTGTCTGCGCTACCTTGAAGGGCTGACATCAATCTTGCAAGTCTGAAAAGACTCTTCCCCTCCCCTACTTTTATTGAAGGTGGACTGGGACCTGAATCTTCCCAGTACCTGTCCAACACTTCAACCGTGTCATCCCATTGCCTCCAGATGTTTAACACAATCCCCAAACATATGCTTGGAAAGAGGAGAGGAGGGGCCAGATGGAACGGATGTATTTAATCCATATTTGAACTTGACTGTCCCAGATGTGTGGTGACAACAGAGGCAGGGCTGGCACAGGAAGGGCAGCGCCCATCTGTAGCAGCAGCATCTAGACTGGTCAGAAGTGTCTTTGGAAGAGACAAGGAGTGCCATGGAACCCAAAAGGAAAGAAGGCCTACTCCAGAACAACCAGCTCACTTCAGGACTGAGGCTGGCATTCATCTGTGTCTATGGCACAGCTCTCTGCCTTCCAAATGGAAATATATCCCTGAATAATTTACCAATTTCTAGTGTTAAAAGGAAGATTGATGATGTTTCCCTTTCCCCAAGGAGTGTTAATCTTGCCTTAGCAGGAAAGCAATTGTGCTAAAGGCTTCTCCTCCAAAGAATGCCAAGAGTTGGCACTGCAGAATCAGAAGCCCACCTTGTTCCAGGCCTGGCAGGCAGGCAGCCAATTATGCATTTATTGCCAGTGCATTAGAAGAAACACTCTCCAGAAGTGCTCGGTGGGATTAGAAATAGGTTTTGCATGGGAGGAACACAAATCAGCGGCAAGGAATCTGTTGCATCTAGAAGCCTTGCGTTTGGTTCCAGGCATTTTTAGCTAACGGGTTGAGAAGAGCTCAAAGACCACAGAGTTTGGAAGATGATGGCAGTGGGATAGACCAAGGATGTCTAGCCTGTGGACACCCACCTATACGCCAAGGACGCACCCCTCCCCCAAACCCTCCAAAAGTTTTAATTTAAATATCCACAGAGTAAGCATATCACCTGTATTCAATGCGCTTTCTTTCAGTTGAATTAATTTACATCAAAATCCAGTTCCAACAAATATCCATTCTGTTGTACCTCCTCAGCAAAGGCAGAAGTTGTCCCCTTATGCTGGGGCTGGACTCTTGAACAGGCAACCTGCTGCTTTTCCAGGCTGATTCCATGTAGCTCTCAATGTAGGAGGAATCTCTGTGGTTCCTTTTTAACAGATGTCTTTCCTGATTAAAACAATTCTCATCTCTAATGTCTTGGTTGTGCAGCTGAGCTGTTTAAAAACCTAATGGGAGTGGTGCTGGTTGAATTATCAGGTCTTCAAAAACAAAAAACAGGAAGAAGAACGGTGAGAAGTTTGGGATTGGTGGGTTAAGACAATCCATCTTTCATGGGACAGGGGAGAGAGATGTTTGTATATTTCTTTTCCTTGGGACTGGTGTTACTGATAGATTACCTCCTGTGGCACTCCTTTTTCTGCACCCGTTCACTCCACAACTCCTTTCCAGTTAGCTTTCAAGATGTTCTCAGGATTCTTCCATCACTCAATAATTCATTATTCATCTGAGGCTCAAACATGGGGTATTGTTTAGAGACTATGGAAATGCAGAATCTTAATAATGGCCCAATTAAATTGTGTGCTGAACACCTGCCCAGCAGTAGATAACATTACATTGATTGGAATATGATAGCAACAGCAAATATGCTACAACATAACTGCGTTTTGGGAAAATGGCGTCAGTGAGTAATTAATGGTTTTCCTTCCTTTCTCCTTTCCCTACCCTTCTTTTTTTCCATGTAGGCCTCCAGATCTTCTGGTGCAAAGATGCAACTTCTGGAAACTGAATTTTCACAGACTGTCCGCGAATTGATAAACCTTCATCTCCTGCAACAGGATAGCATTCCTGCATTCCTTAGTGCAGTTACACTCGACCTCTTCAGTCGCCAGACGGTGGCTTAACCCTGCTTCAGCGAGGAGATGTATTCTTTGCATCATCTGCTCATGGCTCACAGATGGAGATGACTTGCAGGACTTCTGCTGAGGCACTGATCCATGGAGATGAACCAGGCCTTTTCTCATTTTAATTTCCATTTGTATATTTCAAGGTCCTGTAGTGATCCTTCAGCGTCTTTCCTATTTCCTGAAGAAGTAACCTAAAAAATTGAATTTCTTCTTTCTTTCTTTCTTTCTTTCTTTCTTTCTTTCTTTCTTTCTTTCTTTCTTTC